GCAATGCCCATGTTTTGGGGCGAGGTTATCAGTCGAATCTGCAAAAGCAAGGAATTGGTTGTTGACGCTTTCTTTGATAACCACCGATATGCCAGGAGTATCAATTCCGGAGCGGAATAAATTCATCACCCTGTCCTGGCAGGGCCTATCGCAAAGAGCTATAGCCCGGTTAAGCGGCCGCCTGGTATTAACCGGGCGACAGTGCGGCGACAGAAAAGCACCCCGAGTGACGGCGCTTACAGCGCGCCACCAGCGAAACCCGGAAGTCCCAGACGCCCCGCGCGAGGGTTGAGGACATTTTAGTGGGATCCGCACCCTCGTGCCCAGGTGCATTTTCATTAGTTCTCAGGGGCCCTCCAGGTGGAGCAGCCTGTATCGATGGCCACGCGTTCCGGCGTTCGGGTTTCATTCCGTGCTGACTGTACGTGTTCAAAACAATTTAATATGTTGAACATTTTATTTGAGAAATATCTTAATTTTGACCCGATGATGAACTAGTAATATAAGAGTCATAAATATTTCATTTGACTTTCATTCATTGTATATTAATGAAAACAAACCACACGATACCTGTGCACGGCACAGCATTTGAGAGACGACAAAAAAAAACGCAAGTTTTATTTAATGCTAAGTTAAAGGAGCTGTGCAACGATATTTAATTGGAATGTTTTTCTCTCTACACGAGCTTACTGGCACACCTGGGACTCAAGGATACTCACACGCAACGCCATTGGCCAAGAAACTCCTTTGTTGCGGTGTAATTTCAAGGACAAAAGCGATCATTTTCATTCAATCTCTCCTTTGCAAAATTTAATGACGTAACTCGGGGATCGCAGTACACCCAAGTGACGATATTTGAATGTGGTTCATAGATTGGACCCGAGCATTGCGTGGGCACTCGACTTGGGCTCGTGGCAATTGTTAGCTCGAGAAGCATTCGGGTAGTGACCCGTGTCCAATCGCTGCAACGACGACAACAGCCGAGCCATAACAATGTCTGGAACTCAGCGCGTGTCCTGCGCTTTGCCAACCCCAGCGCGTGGCTGTGATCAACACTGGCGGCATATAATCGGCTCCAGATCACGTGGCCGCTTGTTCTGGCTGCGAGTTGAGGGGGTGAACGCTGCTCGTTTTTCTTAATTTTTTTTTCTGGGACTTCTATTGCGTGGGGTGAAAAACGAACGCGTGTTTCATAGGTCATTAACGTTAGGGATCCGTTTTAAGCGGTATTTGTGCACAGTACAAAAATTGTTGCATCGCTCCTTTAAGTTGGGGATTTCTGTTGCGTCAACGCAGCCGCACCTTGCCGTCATCAGCTAAATCTAGCGGGCTAACATGCTACTAGATTGAGTGAGACAACACTCTATCATGTTGTCACGTGCTCGTGCCACCATGAATTACGTATTGACGCGATTGGCGTCACTAAAGGCTCTGTTAAGGCTCTGTTATACTCCGACGTAACGAGTGCGCGCGCGCGAGCGCGTCAGAGCGACGTCACGTCGGCGAAAACCCGCCGCTCTATACTCCGGCGTCGTGGCGTGAAGCGCGAGACACATGCGCGAAAAAGCCATCCGATCCGACGTGCGAACCGCCGGAACGACGTCCGAGGGCGAGGGTTTTCGTCGCACCGGAGCGTCGGACGAGGCCTCCGTCCGGCGCCGGCGTGCGTCCAACTTGCCAGATATCGCCGCACGCACGGTCCGATTTTCGGAAGGCCGCATTGGCCGCAGCCAATGAGCACGGATGGCGAAGGTCATGTTGTCAAGTGACTTTCGGACCGATCGGGCGAGGAGGCGCGACGTGGTTCGGGGAAGCGGATGTGGCGGTGCGCGGTGCGTCACGCGACGCGAGTCGTCGTTGTGAAGGAAACGGACGCCATCGAGTTTTCCCGCGCGTACAAAACGAGCTGCTGATTTCGCCCGCCAAAGCAAGCCGGCCTTCTGGGACCGATCGAGCCCGTCGAAACCCGAATATACTCCGTTTCACCTTAGGATGGACAGCAGCGGACGCTACGAGCCATTCCAATGTCATGTGAGTGTCACGTGAACTTGGGGAGAGACTCAACAATGCGCGCGGTACGTAGTCACGTGATTTGTACGCAGTGCTCGTTTCGCTGGGATGGCTCTAAGGTCCGCTGCGGTCCTTCGCGATTAAGTGATGTTGAGCAGAAAAATAGCCTCACGGAAAATCTTCACACACGCACACTTTAATAGCATGTAATAAAAAATATTACGTTTGTTTGAAAGTCGGAAAAACCAAGAACGGCGAGGGAAGTATTTATTTTTCTAGGCTAGGTGGCGCGAGCTACCGCCCGTTATAAATATGGCCATTAGCATCCATCTATTCATTTGGTAGAAGGACACCCGAAACTGGGCGGAGCTGAACGGAGCGACGCAACGACGCGTCGGAAACCATGTGTCGCGAACCGTCCTGTGCGGCGATTCGGAGCAGCCATCTTCCCGACAGTTCGCACGCCGGATCGGACAGTTTTGACGCGCATGTGTCTCGCGCTTAAAGGCTCTGTTATACTCCGACGTAACGCGCGCGCAGGCGAACGCTGGCCGAAGTCGGCTACGTCACGTCAGTCACGCCGCACGCGTCAAAACTTCGCCCTCTTTATACTCCGGCGGCCCTGGCGACTCCCGCGGCTGTGCGTCGGTGGGCCGCCGGCGTGGCGCATGCGCAGAATCTGACTACGAGGGCACGTTTCCTGCGAGAGTGCGCCACTTCCGGTTCCTTTTCGTTTCGGATAGCAGACGAGAATGCTCGTGCTCACTGATCTCAATGACAATTGCTGGATCGCGCTTGCCGCTCCCGCAAGTGAAGCCACCGGGCGTCACTCGCTTGGGATACGATTTGCCGTTTTTGCTAGCCTTTGCTGCGGTTTTCCAGCGTGCTGACGACACGTTTTCTACTCGTTCGTCGTCATTCGCCGAAGAAGTTTTTTGAAGACTCTGTGTATTGTTGAGACCTTCCGTTGTGAACACGTGGAAAATTCTACGAAAGTGCAGTGTCGCAGGAAAAAGGCACAACGCGTCGAAAGGAAGGGCTGGCGGCGTGTTCAAAGCATCCTTGGCACGCCGAAGTGCCGTGTCTCTGTGCCTTCGCGCGCTTGGATACCGACCAAGAACCGACGCCGTGTGAATGTGTTTAGCGAGTGCCATGTGCGTGAAGCCGTATCAAAAGGTACAACTCGTCGAAAACGTGTCGCCGGTGTCGCGGCGTGATCAAAGCTTCCTCGGCACGCCGAGTGATGCATCTTTGTGCCTTCGCACGCTTGGATACCGGTCAAGAATTGACGCCGCGCCAAAGTTCTGAACGTGTGTCGCGCGTAGATGCCTTTAGATCATTTATATATATCGGCCACGGAGTTCTGGATCGTCCAGCTGTTCCGGTGAGTTGCTATCAATAAAAGGGGGAGATCTGTACGTATTCTTATGTACTATATTAACCATGGCTATGTCCCAAATCTACTCTAATAGATTCCGTGGGAGCACGAATAGGGCAACGTTGTACGTGGAGCGAGGGGGGTTTTCGAAAGCAAAAGTACAAGACGGCGAGAATGAAAATCTTTGAAGCGCGGCCGATATGGTCGTGTGCAATCTGTTGACCAATTACAATTAGGCGAGCCGCGCTCAAACGTCAAATGCAATTAAGTAGGTTGATAATAAGCCAGCACTGATCAGTGATGAGGAGCTGTTGTGCACGGTATTGTGTAAATCGTCTAAGGACGAAAAAAAGACGTACCTTCTCCCCATCTTCCGTCGCTAGTGGACGCTGGATTAAGCTCGTTCCTAAACCGCGAGGGGAAAAGACGCTGATCCAGAGGCACGAACAGCTTCACGCACATTGCACTCGCTGAACACATACACACGGCGTCGGTTCTTGGTCGGTATCCAAGCGTGCGAAGGCACAGAGACACGGCACTTCGGCGTGCCAAGGAATCTTTGAACACGCCGCCAGCCCTTCCTTTCGACGCGTTGTGCCTTTTTCCTGCGACACTGCACTTTCGTAAAATTTTCCACGTGTTCACAACGGCAAGTCTCAACATACACAGCGTCTTCAAAAAACTTCTTCGGCGAATGACGACGAACGAGTAGAAAACGTGTCGTCAGCACGCTGGAAAACCGCAGCAAAGGCTAGCAAAAACGGCAAATCGTATCCCAAGCGAGTGAAGCCCGGTGGCTTCACTTGCGCTGCAGCGAACAAGCGGGGAAGCGCGATCCAGCAATTGTCATAGAGATCAGTGCTCGTGCTTCTTGAGCGCCAAGTTCGAGCGATGGCGTGGACGTACCTTGCACGACGAAAACTCGCGCTTGCACTGTTGGTGCACCACCTGCGCCGCAAGCGTAGGCGGTCAATGTACATACGGTACATCTTTGACAAGCGTACGGTCTACGGTACTCAAGCTTCCTCGTGTCGTAGACACACGGGTGAGGACGAGTTCCCTCGATGAGCTTCTCGACGACCGAGTCCGATTCTTCAAACATGACGCCACACGGAGTGGTGCTCCTGTCGTCTGCTATTGCTCGCATTCGCCGCGCTTCCCGCGCGACGCCTGCCGGGAGCCAGCGCGTGATGCATCCTGGTCCGGCGTCGCCGGCGCGTCCGGCGCGGAATACCGCATGCTCCATTTTGGCGTCGAGGCGGTCAGGCTGCGTCGAACGCCGCCGGTCGCGTCGGTTACGCTACGACGCCGGTCGGGTTTTCGCCCACGTGACGTCGCTGTGACGCGCTCGCACGCGCGCACGCGTTACGTCGGAGTATAACAGAGCCTTAACCGACGCGACCGGCGGCGTTCGACGCAGCCTGACCACCTCGACGCCAAAATGGAGCATGCCGTATTCCGCGCCGGCCGCGCCGGCGACGCCGGACCAGGATGCATCACGCGCTGGCTCCCGGCAGCCCTCGCGCGGGAAGCGCGGCGAATACGAGCAATAGCAGACGACGGGAGCACTTCGTGTGGCGCCATGTTCGAAGAATCCGACTCGGTCGTGGAGAAGCTCATCGAGGGAGTTCGTCTACACCCATGTGTCTACGACACGAGGAAGCTCGAATACCGCGACACGGCCAGGAAAGACAATGCTTGGGAGGCCATCCGGGAGCTGTGCGGTCTCCCCACAGGTAAGCTATTTCGTTGCTCCGCACATCGCGTCTGTGCTTATCGCAGTGCTGTGTTCCGCTGCTGCAGCAGACGCGATCATGTTTTGTAATTGGCTTGAAAGGTGAAACTTTATATAAAAACCCTTCACTGACCTTTCGTGGTGAACGTAGCGGTCGTGGTCGGATAAAAAGAGAGAGCGGATACGCAACGGAGTTTCTTATTGGCTAGGGATAATCCGTCGTGGTAGTTGAGGGGTGGGGGAGCGCGAGCAGCGGCTTTGCACGATCCACGTGTACTTATATAGATTGTCAAAAAAAAACAAAAGAAAGAATGCAATGTGTTTTAAAGAAAAGGTGTAGAGATGAAGAGAAGCGTGCGCGAAAGAGGCGGCTGGTGAACGGCGAGCGGGCCCGGCTTGGACGTGCGCCAATTGTGCTTTCGCACCTTAGTGGAGCTTTTGACAGATTGCCCAAAACCAGAGAATTTGTTTTTATTTTCAGTTGGAGACTGCCAAAAACTGTGGAAGAGGCTGCGTGACCGCTTCACGCGTGAAACCAGGGCCCTGGAACTCACGAAGCGAAGCGGCAGGGGGTTCGTCGCCAGGCACACCTGGGAACTCATGCAGGCCATGGAATTTTATAAAAACTGTGGCCGTCCTAAAAAGTGAGATTTTGAACCATTGTCCAGCGTGGTATGAGGAATTTAAGCGTTGAAACAGACTCGTGTCGTAGATTGAGTTACATATTTTGGTCACAATCCTGTTCTCGGGAATTATAGATACAGGCCTGACGAGAGTTACGGAACCGTCAGTGAAATCGCAAAAACGTACTAGAATGCCGCTTTATTTCTTTCGATCGAACACTGGGGGCATAGCAGCAGTAGCGAACGTCCGACACCAATGACCTCTTGGATGGAATAGTGGATGGAATTCTTTAATCACGTTGGACGCAGCCGCGTCTGTGTACAACGCGGCTGAGACAGGCAGGCTTTGCATTGAGCGAGCCCCCCGCACTGCTGGGAGTTTTTTTTTCGAGTGTGTAAAGACGATAAATAAAAGAAACGGTCCGCCTTCATTGCCTTCTTCATATGTTCGCCGGTATCGCCACACATAACCAAAATAGCGAACAAAACAAAGGTGAAAATACTTCCCATGGCTTCAGGCAAGCTTGGCACGCTGTGCAGAATAATGCGTAGCATTGTGCGTTAATTGATGAACACGTTTAATGCTGATTAGTAGTTATCCCCGATTAATTGGTCAGACGTCAACCTTCCTGGTAATTTACACATGTGAAACCGCGTATCTCCCAATTGAGGGATATGATGGGAGAATAGAATTGAGGGATATGATGGGAGAATAGAAAGATGTGGTTGTGTTGTCCCTGTTTTAATTGTTTTATTCTTTCTTCATCCATGACCAAAACCAACACGCTCTTCTCCCAAGCATGAGGGATATGGTCGGATGTTCTGCAGAAATACTTCACTTCTACTTTAAAATGCGGACAGACCACCGTCATGAAAATGTTTATGTGCGTTCGTTTCTTCCCCTCCCTCACACACAAAAACAAACAAATAAAATGGCGTCGATAGGCGAAATATTTTTGTTTATTGTGCTTGCTTTATTGAGGGCGGTACAGCGTAGCTCTAATTTTAGAGTGATTCAGAAATAAAGCTTATACCAGTGAAAAAGCAGTGAGTGCGCAGGCAAGCTGGTGGATGTTGATCATAATGTAGAAAAACCCGAGACTGTTGTAAAAGCAGGGAAACGGTGTCGAAGAGGAAAGACAGGGGAAGAGAACGTCTTATACCAGTGTCAGACGGAGTTCTAAAGATCCTTTTCACTAAGCTCCTGTATAAAATCGGCAAACCAGCGCACGCCGTAGGGTACGGGCGCACTCAACATCGTGAGCAGATTGGCCGATTTTATAAAGGAGCTTAGTTTAAAAGGACCTATAGAACGCCGTCTGACACGGGGATTACTAACCTGATAAACATATTAAGACATTTTATATTCCTTTCGAAATATCAAATATATGTGAAGCATTTTGCTCATGCGATAATGGTTTTGCTTGCTAAGTGGATTTTGTTTCTGTTCCTGTAGAACGGCGTGCAACCTGGACACGAGACCACTAGCAATGGACGCCGACGGGGATGTCGCGGCAGAAGACCTTTTTTATTTGATCCAGAGTGGCGCACCGTCGCCTTCTGAGGACAACTGCATTGATTTGGAGCAGGTGGAAGTGGGCCAATCATAGCTAAATAATGATGGTGATGAGCCCGCTCTGCGTGCAACGACGGGGGCGTCGTCAGGCGCACCGAAAAAGCGTAAAAAAGTGGCGAATTCGAGCAGCAGCTGCTCTACCAGCTGGACAAGAAAATGACGGAAAATGAGGCTTTTGGCATGTCCATTGGTATGAGCCTGGACAGGTTGTTTAGGCCTGACGCAGCAAAGTGCAAGGCACGAATAATGGACATCATTGCAGAATATGACAACTAATTAGTTGACAAATGCTGCAATTACTTCCGTTACTGCATGTTTTTATAACAAAGCAAGAGGCTGCTGCTGTGTTTTTTTTTATGCTTCCACTTGGAGTGACGTGACTCAAACTCCAATAAAATAATTTTATAAACAAAGTATTAAAAAACAAAAAGATCCGTGCGTAATACTTTTAGCGCCCGACACCTTGTGCCACACAAGTGGAAACACCACTATAAAAAGTAAAAACACCAGTCATTGACTTTTAGTCCTACTAGACTTAATAAAATGTCTGCCTAAGCACAAAAACTTAGGTGGGAAGGCAACTTTTTGCCACAAATGCCTCAGAACAGTGAATAAAACAACACACAATCCGATGCGAAATAATTCTTTAAAAAAGCAACACAGCTAGCACAGAGTGAAAAGCAAGGTAATTTTTTATATATAATAAGCTCTCACAATCTCGTGATGTCTATCAAAGGTAATACAAATGATCAATTGCTTCTGCAGACTGACCCACGAACAGCACCAAAAGCCGGCAACATCTCACAGACTTGTGTTTCAAATGGCTGGCATCGAAGCAATGGCTAGCTAAAATAATTGATTTTGGGTAACTGAACTTACAAGGAAACATGTTTATTGCCCGGATAGGCCCGGCATGTCTTAAAATAAATTCTCGTCGAAACAGGAAATAGAAAAAAAAAATCGCGCGCACTATTTACGTGGCGATGTGTAATTCTTGTTTTGAGGGCGATAGTAAAACTATACCGTATTACAATTATGATGATTAAGAGGGTGCTCTATTTCCGACTCTGCTCCCTCGTCTCACGTCTTCCCGGAGCGCGGGGAAAAAAGAAACTCTTCGGAGTAATGGCGTATACAGAGTACACTCCTAATCATCATTGTAAGGGAATAGTTTCTGTAGAGATAGAGAAAAAAATGCGTCTTGCGGCATACATATGTGGCAAAGAACATTTTTTTCAACGACTATTTATTTTGAGACATGCCTGTAGTATCCAGGCAGTAAAAATTGTGTTTTATAAATTTATTGTTTTTTAAGGAAAGGAAGAACGTTATATAGAAGTCATGCAGCGCCTTCATTTTAGGCTAGAAGAGAACTGACTGACATAGAATGTCTTTTACCATTTAACCAATACAGCAGGAAAAATGCATGCGAAAATGATAAACAAATCAGGTTCAAGAATGAACACTTCCAGCACAAAAAAATAAGGCTGACACAAGTAGCCAAGCAAAAAAATGTGGACGCGCACAAGCCGCTCTCAAATTGTTAACAAGACTGGCAGATGCAGAATATAACATAATTTTCCACTTGCCTGCTCTAGACTGCTCTATCTGGGCATATGCCCAGATACAGCAGTCTAGAGCAGGCAAGCGGAAAATTGTGTTATATTCTGTTTGCAAAGAAAAGTGCTCACACAGGTTCACGTATTAGCTGCGCCTAACAACTTCCAGCTGCCATGGCAGAGAGCCTTCTGCAGACATGAAATAATCTGAGATCTCATCTCTCATGTCTATGGCTGCTTGAGCAGGGCGCTTGCCGGCCGCTGCAGTGCAAGTGCCAATTTGCGACACTGTCTGCCTCCACTGACCTTCCTGCACCGCCTGCCCTTGTGGCCTGTCACCATAATCATTGGAACAGTATGCGTTATCGGACATGAGAAAGTTATGCAAACACACTGCTGCCTTTATCATGTCAGTGACAAGCTCGACGTCACCTTCGACAGTTCCAAGGAACAAACGCCACCTGGAGACTAAAATGCCAAAAGCGTTCTCGACACATCGGCGCGCCCTGGAAAGACGGTAATTGAAAACCTTTTTGTTGTCATCGAGACTCCTTCCAGGGTACGGGCGCATTAAGTACGTGCTCAATGGAAAAGCAGCGTCGCCGAGTAAACAGACGGGCCACCTAGACACACCCGAGGGCAGCCCGAGAGTGTTGGCTTCAAAGTGACGTCTGATGGCACTTTCCCTGAAGAAAGAGCCATCTGACATGCGTCCCTGTGCCCCTACATCTACTACAGTAAACCTGTAGTTGGCGTCTGTGACAGCGAGCAGGAGCAAGGAATAAAACCCTTTATAATTATAACAATCTGACCCACTGTTGTCTGGGCACTTAATAGAAAAGTGCTTCCCGTCAATGCTACCGATGGCATTCGGGAAATTCCACTTCGCACAAAACTCTTGCCGTATTCTTTCCCACTTCGACGTGGTAGGCTTTTCCAGTACCACAGGAGACAGACAGTCCCAGATGGCCGCCAAGGTTTCTCTCAGAATCCCTGAGACTGTCGAGGAGTGCATTCTGTAGCTCATGGCCAAATCCTGCATTGATCCTCCGGTAGCCAGGAATCTAGAAAAAATTATATTCACATATTAACCTCAACCTGACGTGCTTTTGCGATGCAGGATTTTGTGATAGAAGTGTGGTATGTTCTATAAAACTGTGTTGAAAACAGATTTGTTATTGTTATGAAGCCAGTGAAGCTGTAAAATATTTTTCTACCATGCTGTTGAATGTGAAGCTGATACATTAACAGCCGGAGCAGGGCTTGTGGGAGGACTTTTGGTATCCCCTCAGGTTTATTCGCAAGGGAATGAACAGTGATCAGTGTACAGTATTACAAAATGTATATATAAAGTATCGCAAACATAATAATTTTGTTAGAAAGACGAACAGATCCTATTTACCTCAACGTAACTGCGAGCCTTTCTCCAGGGGAGATTGGCCTCCTGTGGGTTGGTGCGTGGAGGATTCGGTGATACACAAGGCTCAACAGTCGATCAAATGATGCCTTGGTCATCCTGCATGAACACAATGACACAGTGACCCAACATGAACAGGTATTCCTCAGCAGAAGTTTTCAAAATCTACACTTTGAAATAAAGCTCTAGGCATCATACCAGCCTAAGCACGTCATAATGGAGTTTCCTCCTATTGTTATGTTTTATATGGAAGCGACGGGAAGTTCCCAGGATCGCTGTTTGATTGAGCGTGGCAGCTTACACTGCTACTATAAACAACCCTAATATATTTTTACAAGAAACGAACCCGCCCATTCTGCTAAATTTCAAAGTTGCAAGCTCGTGACATTGGTGAAAGCACTCTTGTAAGCCACTTCACTACAACGAAACGGCTCTCGACACTGTCCCTTGAACACAATTGTTGGCTGCTGCCATTTAAGGGGGAGCAACCGATATCAGCCCGGATTTGATAACGGAACGTCTAGCTTATGAAGCTTGGCTTCATCAGCTATATGTTCCGTCTCGGCTTGCCCTCATGAGCTTTGAACGGAACGTCAAGCTTCATCAGCTAGAGATAGACGTTCCGTCCCACCTTGCCTTCATCAGCTTTACAGAAATAATACTGCGAACAACGCGCAGTATTTTTCGCGTCGGGAAGCTCGCGCTCCCAAACAGTACGCCGCAAGCTCGATCATTTTTTAATACTTTTCTGACACCGAAATCGCCGTAAGTTCAATATCCCTTTTGAGCGTGCATTCAGTTACCTGAAATACTTGAAGTGGTATTCGGGGTCCCTCTCTCGCAGCTCCTGGACGAGGCGGGGGTATTCCCCGTAGACCGTGCGCTTGTCAAAGATGTGCCGCATGTACATTGACCGCCAACGCTTGCGGCGCAGGCGGTGCACCAACAGTGCAAGCGCGAGTTTTCGTCTTGCAAGGTACGTCCACGCCATCGCTCGAACTTGGCGCTCAAGAAGCGCGAGAATTCTCGTCTGCTATTCGAAATGAAAAGGAACCGAAAATGGCGCACTCTCGCAGGAAGCGCGCCCTCGTAGCCAGATTCTGCGCATGCGCCGCGCTGGCGACCCACCGACGCGCGCCGCGGGAGTCGCCAGGGCCGCCGTAGTATAGAGAGGTCGAATTTTTGACGCGCGCGGCGTGACCGACGTGACGTAGCCGACTTCGGCCAGCGTTCGCTTGCGCGCGCGTTGCGTCGGAGTATAACAGAGCCTTAAGGGTCTGGTGTCAAAGTAGCGCTAGTCAGGCTACGCCAAGCAGTGTTTCCAATTTAGCGGGTTTTTCGCTCAATAGGACGGTTTCCTAAGTTGTATAACGAAATAAATTGCCGTTTGCGGTTGGCGTAATATCTCATGGTTTTCCAGTCATGCTAATGTTTCTCTTCTTTTTTTTTTCTGGTAGGGAATAGTTTTTAGTTTACATTCATCAGTCGTAAAATCGCAATTTTTGTTGTAAGTTAGGGTCTTCGGATCGTGATATTTCCTTGATGCCCTTCAGACAGTGCACGGCGCCAGCAACTTTCCAGCGTGTCATGGACACCGCAGTGGCAGGCCTCAAATGACGGACCGGACTCGTTCACCTTGACGACGTCGTGGTATTCTCAACCAACTTCGACGAGCACTTGCGACGCCTTCGGGCCGTTCTTCAAGCAATTAGGACCGAGGTAATCACCCTCAAGCCGACGAAGTGCCTGTTCACCTATGGCGAACTGAAGTTCTTAGGTCAAGTTGTGAGGAATAAAAGTGTTCATTCTTTCCTTCTTAAAACCCGCGCCGTGGCGGCATTTCCACCCTCCACCGAAAAGAAGGTTGTCCGAAGATTCATGGGACTTTCGCGCGACCTACCGGCGGTTCGTTCGGGATACCGCCTAGCTTTCTGCGCCACTCAAGCACCTCACGAAAGACGCCGTGAAATTCGAGTGGGGAAAAAACAACAACAGGCATTCGACGAGCTGAAGCAACGACTCCAGTCCCCACCCATTCTTGGCCGCTTCGACCTGTCA